TAATAATAATAAATAAAGTAATAATAGTAACAGTTAGTGGAACGAGTTACGATGGAGGAACTCACTATAGTGTATGGGGGAAATCAATCATTCATTTATTCTCTTTTAGACATTTTTATCCTCTCTGCATTTGGAAATGGAGATGTAAAGAACAGAAATAATATATTTCAGTGGGAATAAAAAAGGATATAAAATACATAAAAATAAGGAAATAACACAACAAGAAAGAAGAAAGAAAAAAAAAAAAACCAAATTCTTCTAATATGAAGTTCTTCACATATACCTTCATTTTTCCCTCCTCTTCTTCTCTCAAACCATATATATATATATATACATACATTTTCCTTTTGTTTCCATCTATCCATTCATTCACTTACTTACTGTTATTGTTGTTTGTTTGTTTGTTTACATGCGGCTCATGTCTCTTGTAGTTTCCCCCCAATAATGGCTCTTTACTCATATCTGTGTAGTTCACTTTCCCCAACACATCCGTACAGTCATTATTCCTGTTATTCTTACTATTATTATTACTACTACTATTATTACTATTATTACTATTAGTAGTAGTAGTAGTATTAGTAGTATCTGTTTGCCTGTTGAGATATTGATAGCCCAATCGCAAGAGTACAATCCTCACTACTGTCATGATTACTGTTAATACGGCCAAATGAATGGTACTATACCGCCGCACCGCCTCCTTCAATCGACAATGGCCGTACAAAACACAACAGTCATGTCTCTCCTTAAATAGAGACTCCACACAATCCTCATTCTCCTTCTTTTTCATCATAGTATGTGAAGGAATCAATATATTCCTATTATTATTATCATTATTATTATTATTATTATTATTATTATTCACAGGATAATAACATGTACGGCCCATTTCACTCGCCGCTGGTATTATTCGCATATTCTTCTCCCATAAACACTTTTGCAGTGCCGGTGCATAACAGTGACTTGCTGTAAATTCCTTATTTGGACTATGCACAAAGTATCGCTGCACAGCTCCAGTCACCACAAAAGAATAAAATGCCGCAGATGATGAAATCACAAGTGTAAAGATGAGAAAAAACCAATACGCCCGTCGACGTAACATCGTTGTAAATATAAATGCCGCTAGAATAGAGATAATTACAATAACTGTATTTAATATATGTTCCACCTTATGATCGACGGTGTATCCCACGGCAAGAACGGCATTCACTGTACAGAGTATATCCAATTCTACACAGGATTGAATAGACATCCAACGTTGTCGTTGTTGTAAAGATTGTGTACGTGTAATGCCCTTCATAAAGGTACGCCAACCAAAACTACGAATCACACATATATATAATCCACATGATAATAATAATAAACCCGCATGTATGAGAAGTAATACACATACCGTTACGGTCATCACATTAGAAAGATAATCCGCATCTGTGGTAAGTGTAAAATACATTACACGACTCATTTGAAGAAGTACTGTAATAAAATGACACCATAAAAGCCGAGCATTCTCATAACGAACTGTACGAACCACAAAACAAACCACCATTAAACCATTAAAAAGAAAACAGAATAAACTAAGAGAAATATCAGGAGTCATTACATCTTGTAATCGGGTCCCATTACATACAGATCCATCCTTTATCATCGTTTCATGTGGAATATGTAGAAGTGTTCCTAGAATAAGGGATACAGCTATGATCATTAACATACAGGCAATATAATTAACTCCACAGAATATTTTGGAAACGAATGAAATCTCATTTCCTGAAAAGACATTCATAAAATAAATGAGAGAAATTATTCTTCGAAATAAACGGCATTTAAAACAACAAACGTAATATCGTCTAAAAGGTTTTTGTCCTTGATGAATTATTATACCTGGTTCTCGTTCAGTTAAAGAGTCCTCACTTTCAGAAAGGATCCGTTGATGGGAAACCATATCCTCACGAGAAGTGGAAGAAAAACAAAAACAACAACAATAATAATAACAACAACAACAGCAATGAGAACAAGAAATATCCTCATCAAAATCATCTAATTCATCTCTAGGATCATTCTGATAATCTTTACCATTTTTTCGTATTTTTATAAATTCATACCTAACGGTAGGCATTGAGGAATCTCTACAACTGCTCTCTTGATCATTTATAAGAGTACCCTGCACCTGATAGTTATCTTGTAAATTTATAATTGAATCATTTTCAATTTTATTATTATTATTATTATTATTAAAATCCCAACCACTAGCTCGTTGTCCAGTACTACACCTTAGACTTGCGCAAACACTTCCTCGTTGAGAAGTACAGCCTTGAACCACACCATCTGATATTTGATGAGAGTGTCGTGAAGTACTATTAAGGGATCTATTGAAAAGTTGCACATCCAATTGTTCTGCTTCCTGTCTTGTAGCTACTTGTGCACTTTGTTCACATACACTATTATTATTATTATTATTATTATTATTATTATTATTATTATTATTAGTTTCTTCCTTCTTCATAATATTAACAGTAGCATCAACAGTTTCTGTAGGAACATTTTTAGAAGCTGAGGTAACAGTCTCCTCTTCCTCACCTTTAGAAGAGTATAGAATAGACTCCAGTGGTGGTGAACACCTCAGGTTATTCTCCTCATTTCGAGTGAATATATAAGTTGCGAAACTCCCTCTTTGAATACTAGGAACTCCTAAATAACTCGAATTAGCTGCCATCACATCTTCTTCATTTATCTTTGTTGGAGACTTAATCTTCATTGGTGAAGTTTGTTGATGACGTTGACACTCCTTTGCCACGGAATTCCATTTTTGACGCAAGACTGTTTCACTTGGTGATGGAGCTGTTGTTGTTTTTGATATTACTACAGTTCCCACACCTGTCTGAGAAAAACGTGGAGAAGTTAGTCGAGCGGATAAATTCATTCCAATCTGTGAATCTCTAGAGAAACGCATTGTATTATCTAATGGAAGTATTCCATTACCTCTACTATCTACACTACGTCCTAGTCCTGAATCAGAACACCCTTGTAGGGCCCCAACTTCAGTAAATGAATGCAGTGAACTAGGAGCCTCTGTGGATGGTAATTGCAGTGGAGTAATTGCTGGTCGTGGTCCTATTATTATTATTGCTGACGAAGATGAGGAAGATGATGTTACTGCAGTTGCTGTGATGGTTGATGATGATATTAATGATATTGGTGCCTGTGGGGCAACAGGGTGAAGGTCCACGGAGGAGTGGAGTTTACTCCTCTCCATGGGATCTTTTTTAAATTCCTCCTTCTTATCCTCATTGCTATCTATACTGTTGTTCGTATTGCTCCGGTTGGGCAGCATCCCCAAATTAAAGTAGAAAAAAAAGAACTCACACACCACCTCAGACTCAATAATAAATAAATAAATAAGTAAATAAATACACTGGGTGTGGGGCCCAAGAGGCGTCTGTAATCTCTTATATAGACGCCACTAGGGCTATGGAATATATCTACTCATAAAAAAAAGAAAGAAAAAAGAAAAGAAAAGAAAAATCATTTGAGGGTTTAACATGCATAAAACAGAAACGGAGTACAACAACAAAAAAGAAAAGAATCGAACAAAAGGAAGAGGATGCAAAAAAAAAAAGGAAAAATAAAAGTTTTATATATATGTATATATATATATACAAAAAGAAACTAAAAATTGATGTCCCTTCTTCTATACAAAGAGAAGGACTACATGGAGTAGTACATATCGTTAAAAACAACGAAAAGAAGCAAAAAAAAAAAAAAAACACAACAATAAAACAATAATAAAGAAAAAAAAAGAGGAACTAATTTACATAACAAATTTCAAAGAAAAAGTTATTCTGTTGAATGTTTTAGTGCGCCAACAAACACACATGCACACACAGGGAGAAAGAAAAAGAGAGAGAGAAAAAGATAGATAGATAGAGAGAGGGGTGAAGAGAATCGTGCTACTAACACTTTTTTTTTGTTTTCATTCTTTTCCCTCATACCATATCCTCTTATTGTTTTTTTTTTTTTTTTCGTTTTCTCTTTTCTTTCATACAATTACTCTCCCTCCTTTTTTTTCATGTGATTTCCTACTTTTCCCGTTGATTTGTTTCCTTTCACTTCTTTTTTTTCTTTCTTTTTTGCTCTTTCTTGCCTTTTTTTGGCTAACTTCTTTCACTTAAACATTATTTACAGGAGGCAGTGATATTGTTGTTGTTGATGTTGGTAGGGGTGGGACTACTATAGGGCGCAGTGGTTCCCCGGTGATAATATTATACCCATGCGGGTTTCTTCGCTGCATTAATTTCTGCTGCCGCAAAAAATAACTATGCTGCTCCACCGCAGATCTATCCTCACTCCGCCGTCTTGCCTCCTCTAATCTAAACACACGTGTGATGGTGTCTCTCCCATCCCCGGTCTCATTACGCATGGAGACTCCTGCCATCTGCGCACCGCGTTGCTGTTCCCTCTGAAATTCCTCCTCTCTTCGCTTCTCTAACTGAGCGACGCGGTCTTTGTGCCGATGACGTCGTGCCTGCGTCCACCGCTGCCGCTGCTGCGCCTCCACCTGCCGGGCGTGTTGGAGCTCCGCGGCGGTGGTGAGTGTGGGGTGCAGGCGGTGCGCCTCACTGATGCAGAGCGGGCTGGCCGCGTAGAGGGCATACGGCGGTGGAACAGAGCCAGGCGGTGTGTTTGTATTTGTGGGCGGGAGAAGTGAGAGGGGATGAAGATAACCCGGCGGGTGTTGGAGAACATCGGCCTCGTGGCGGCGGAGACCGCGATGGCCCACGCGGCGCAGGCAGAGCGGCGGCTCCGATCCAAATAGCATCTAATACTTACACCACCTTCTTCCTTCAATCTATAAAGATATATATATATATATATATATATATATATATACATANAGAGAGAGAGAGAGAGAGAGAGAGAGAAAGAGAGAAGGTATGTGTTGTTGTTAGTATTACAGGAGAGGAGAGGGGTTTGTATGGGGGATGGGTACAAGAAGAAGAGAAAAATATAAAAAGGACTGAGAAAAGTGTGAAGGAAAAAGAAAAAGAAAAGAAGAACAGGAAAAAAAAAAAAAAACGCAGACATAGATACGTTCAAATGTCATTCCAGCACATTTCCAACCTTGAAAGTCCACACGCCGTGTGTCCGCATCAACTATCTCTGTATTAATCTGAATCACTTGCCTTCAGAAAAGAAGAACAAGAGAAAGCACGAAAAAAGAAAAAAAGAAAAAAAGAAAAAACACATCAAATAGATATAGGAATATGAGAAATAATGTCCCAGGAATAATAATAATAATAATAATAATAATAATAATAATAATAATAGAGAAAAAGAAGAAAGCCAATAACGAAAACAAGAAAGAGAATAAACGAATTAATGAAAAAAAAAGGTTAAATATCTCTTGAGATCCACACATAGGGGAAAGCAGAGAAAGCGAGATAAGCGCACCTGAACAGAATACAACACAAATAAAGAGAGAGATATACATTAGCAAAGGTGTAGTTAACACATCCATTGTAACTCTTCATTTTTGCCCTTTTTTTCTCTTTTTCTTTTTTATTAATTTTTTTTCATTTTCGTTCTGTTTTCTCCTTTCTTTTTCATTTTATTTTGTTTTTTTCTCCCCTTTTTACTCTGCCTTTATTATTTCTAAATGCAGCTCATAATAGTTATTTCTCAGCATAGCAACAATTTAAAATCTTACATTCACCAAAGAATCCTTTTGCAAAACAAAAAAAAAAAACTCCCTTTAACTATTCTTTATCGTTTTAAGCACAGAGAAATACAACAACATAGGTGTATACGAACACGCAGAAAAGAAAAGAGAAAGGGTAAGAAGAAGAAGAAGATAGCAGATCCTTTCACTACAGTAACTGTTATCCACCAAGAAAGAAGAAAAAAAGCATGAAATTACCATTATTGGTTTTAATTACATTCTTTATTACCATTTCTTATGGCATCGTCACGTCAGGATTCCTCGTTTTTTTTTTTTTTTTTCTTTTCTTTTCTTTACTTTTTTTTTCCTTTTCTCATTATTTTTCTTTTCTTTTTTCTTCTTTGTTGAATTTCTCGTCTTCCTTTCTTTTTTTTTTTCTGTATTTTCTCATTCTCACTTCATTTCCCTACACAGAATACGCCCTTCATCCCTTTCATCTAATATAATGATGTGTGCAAGTGAGCCTATCAACATAATCAGGATACAGGAAAGAAAAACAAAAAAAAAAAGAAAAAAAAATGTTAAAACAGTTTTTTTTTTTTTTTTCTTTTTGGAAGACATAGAGAAAAGAGAAGCAATACAGCCTATCCATTCACCTGTCCACAAAATCAGCTATGCAATACCTTTTTTTTTTGTTTTTTTCCCCTTTCTCTTTCTCGTTAATTTTTCTTTTCTTTTTTCTCTTTTCTTGTTTTTTTTTTTTTTTTTCTTAAATGCTCAGGCTATAAATAATATTAATAATAAATGAAAAAAAAAAAAAAAAAACGAAGAGCAGTCAAGACACAAGAACAGTAGCCACTACCAAACACTCAAATAATTACGATCATCGCACTCCGCGCAAATTCCCCTTCTTCTTCTCCTCCTCCTCCTCCTCCTCCGTTGATTTAATGGGAAAAAGAAAAGTGAAAGGGAAGGGGAAAAAAGGGAATTCCCCTCGAGAGATGGGAGGAAACTCTGGCAACAGGAAGTGAATGAGTGAGCAGTTAAGTGATGTGCAAAAAGGAAAAGAGATAGAGAGAGAGGGAGAGAGAGAAAAGAGAGAGAGAGAGAGAGAGAAAAAAAAGAGAAATATCCATTAGAAATGATACTTCTCAAACCAGGACGACTGGGGCAAATAAAAGTTGTGCCTCTGCCACTGGATCAACTCTTCACCTCTCACCAACTCACTCCTCTTTCCCCCACAGCTTCCCCCTTTTTTTTAAAAAAAAAAAAAAAATCCTTTTTTTTTTTATTATCTTTGTTTTTTTGTTTTTTTTTTTT